TTGTGAATTGCAAAAATAAGGGCACAAATAGTCTGTGTATATATTTCCTACATTGGACTGGAAATTAAATCAAAGAAATAAATGGATAGATGCCATAAAAAGAAATAAGTAAGCGAAATAACCTTAAATTATGATCAATTTTATTTGCGCTATATATTTTATGTGATATTCATTATTGTCTTTATTATTTTAGTGTTGATGGGTCGCCATGGTATCCCAAACCTGACGACACAATTTGTAGTGAACATTTTATGGGAAACAAAAAATCAGACGAGGAAGAAAATCCGAGTTATGCTCCTACGATATTCCCTGAAATATATCGAAAGAGGAAGGTTAATGATTCACAGGTCCTAGCTAGATATACACGCTTGACAAAACGAAGAACCACAAAAGTCTCAGATAATAATTGAAGAAGGGAGTGAATTAAATCAAACTCAACCTTTTATGATCGATCAAGGATGTCAAGTCAATATGTTTTCTGAATCGAAATTAAGAGATACAACTTTTATTTGTATTAGATTAATTTACAGTGATCACTGTGATCCAACATCAAGAATTTTAATGACAAATAATTCAAGAAAGAAAGATAAAAGCTGTGGCACTGACAAAAAATCGTATGAGGATCAATCTACCGAAACAAAAAGTCAAGAATTTGTTGGTATTTCATCAATAACAAATGATCAAGAACTCCTAGATCCTTCTGGTGTGTCATTTAGCAATTTTGAGTTTTTATTAACAAGATTAACTATGAGAAAATGTACAGTTTCCACTAAAGACCGACTTCTGATTTTTTTGATAAAAATGAAAACTGGCTTGACATTTTCAGCATTGAGTGTGTTATTTGGTGTACAAAAAAAACACAATCTCACGTATATTTCATTCGATCTTACAAAATCTAGCTTGTTCAACTGCTAATTTAATCTTTTGGCCGAATAGAGCCACCGTACAAGCACCAATGCCCAAGTGTTTCAGTCCAGATTACATCAATACAAGAGTTATTATTGACTGTACTGAATTCCGAATTGAAATCCGACATTATTTAAATTATTATACAATATATAATAATTTTTATTTATCTTTACCTTACTATATTTACTAGAAATCAATAAAATACAAACTGATGTCATTATTTGGCATAATCCCGGAAAGTTGCGCATTGTAGGTGGCGCTACTGTCGTGCACATAGCGAATACATGGTGCTGTTTCAGATTCTCCAAAGGTTGTTCTATCTCGGGACTACCACTTGACACAATTTTTTGGGACAACCTGTATTGCTACATGGAAATGAAATTAAATATCAAGTGTGCTCTATCACTACATCATATCACATCTACCACCTGCCCTTATTTTTATGGCGGTGCGAAGTTCGCTGGGTCTACTAGTAATAATATATATTATAGAATAGGCAATAACGATAGAAATACAAAAAAGGTTGATCACATAAAAACGATTATGATTGAGGGTTGGCTTCGTTCAAAGGAAAGAGCTTCGTACTGACAAAAGCATACCTACTCGTTTCATGCTGTGTTTAGTATCTGAGACAAGATTTTGTCACAGGTGTATTGGTGCGTGCGATCATTTCAAAAACGAATAATGACCGAAGAGGGTCTCTTTAAAACACGAAAGTATTGTTAATAAATTATATGAGAATAAAAATATCCTTTTTCCAAAAAGCCTAGATATAACTTGAAGAAATTGGATTGTTCGTTTCATTATTTTGGTATGTACACCGGATTTTAAGGTGACGCCTACTCGTGGGGTTTGAATCCCGATAGGGCAAATGTTAGTATGTTAGTATGATAAATAAGAGCCTTTGTTCCTAACTCATGGATGTTTATAGGTATTTCTACGCAATATATATATATATATATATATATGTAGTAGTAGATTCTAGGGTTCCGGGTAGAATTACCCGGTACCCTACAATCCCATAACACAAACCTTTCAGTGCTTACTTTGGGGCTAAGCTAACTGGTATGAGTGTTGAAATGTTTATTAATTTGTTTTAATTACACCCTTAATGGGTAGAGAAAATATTATTATGGTAGGTTTACCTGATTATGTTTTTTTTTCTTAAAGTTATCTGGTTCCCTTGGGGAGTTCATAAAACATTAGGTACATAAATATCCAGGGTGATAAAAGTGATTCCGATAAATCAACCTTAACAATACAATGGTACTATTTGAGGAAAAGTTGTTATTTATAAGAAGGTGGTTAAATCCCAAACCCAAGTGGATTCATAATTTAAGTTTAAAACAAAGAAACGAAACTCCAATGCTGTAAAAATACGAATATACTAACTTTACACAAATTTGGAAAGAAATTGTTCCCTAAAGTAATGAAAACTGGCAAAAATTTTGCACGTAGCCTTTATAGCTTCTTTCAAAGTTTGTATTTCTTCAAAACTTTTTATTTGTATTGCAGGCAAAACGTCATAGGTAAAGTTTTTCTGTATGTTCCGGCGTAGATTCATCCAAGTTTACGAGTAATTGTTAGGCGCTTTGGTTTCATAATTAAAAAGTTTATTATTGTTCATGTAATTAAATGTCTTATAGATGTTTTTTTGAGTGTGTAGGTATGCTGTTGGTCGATCATGACTTTTACGATTTCACCAGGTTAGGGGCAGTGAGATCTTTTAAACCAACATTGTAGTTATCCATGTGATAATATGAGATAAGAAAGAGATGGCACTGCAACTTGAGAAAATTCAACGATATTATTTGCAAAGGCAACTTCTGTATATGATGTATATGAGCATTTGTACCAAGTCAAACCAACTAATAATGGGCATAATTATTTAGCTCAAAATCGCTTATTCCACAACGAGTACGAAGTATCAACTTAGCGACGGCCTATACGGCTATTTAATTTTATAAAAACGATATGCGGCTCAATCTCTTTGTAATTTTAACAAAACATTAGTTATAAAAACACTTTTAAGTAATTTATTTTAATGGTTTGAATCAGATATGTCCATTGGAATTATACCATTAGATGTGAAATTTTAATTGTTATCGAATGGTGTAAAAAAAAAACTAAAAATGCTATACCGCCTTTCGGTTTAGCAGGGCAGTATTTATAAAAAAAAGGTCTCGATAACTTAATTAATGGAACTAGCTACTAAATAACTTAATGGACTAGACAACAAAGTGCCAGTTGGTCTGAATCCCGTATTATGTTTCAGAGAATATTGTTTTACTAATATAATTATGGAATGAGCTTCTATCCACGGTGTTCCCTTAGAACTATAACATGGTCTACTTCAATAGACGCTTATTTAAAAATGTTCCATGAATGTCAGCGGCATGGCTGTGTCACTGGCATTGCTGACGTGCATAGGCGACGGTAACCACCGTCCCGTCCGCTCTTCTGCCTTCGAAGGCAATAAAAAAAAAGCTTTGTATATAGCTCTCAAAAAAAGTATACCACCGATTATGTAATTAACACATTGAAAGCAAACAGTTTTTTTATTACTATTTTAAGACGCCTCGTTCGTTAGCGCGTATTCGGGTACACGAAAGATATTACTCGATTTCGGGCACTCGAAGCAATAATTATATTACTTTCGGGAACTGGAACACGAGCAACAAACCCTGCACTCACGTACCTCAGTGAAACCATATTGAGGGGAACGAAAACAAATACGGAGGAATCATTAATAATTGTCATTTTCGGATTTCAAAGCCATTTGTATATTATATCAATTTGTCGTAAATTATAACTAACAATATTTTTTTCTTAGAATATCATTAGATAACATAAAATACGTAGTCGACATCTGCGTCTGTCTTTCAGGTTTTATTATTTATTTATAAATAGTACCAAGTTTGGCTAATAATAATTACAAATTTTACATAAATATAGACTCCATGATCTACTAGCTATGTGCATTTCGATCAACATTTGTGTAGATAACGGGTTGTATTCATAATCAAAGCTAAAAATTCTCCGCGTATGTGTAAATACATATGCAGTTACATTCGATTCCCAATGAACAAAAACAAATCTTTTGAAACAGTTTAAGTTGAACCTAATAACAACCATGTCACAAAGGAATAAAGTAACAAAAAACAAAATGTTATTTCTTACATACGACCTATTAATGCACATTGTGTCATCGTGAGGCGTATTTACCTAACTAATTGAAAATAAGATCTCACTCCTCCAGTGAGGCTGTATTTACCGAAACGGATTTTACGCGCTGATCCGTTATCTATAGTATTGTTGATTTTTTTATATATTTTTAAATATTTCCAACACTCACACCAATTAGCCTTGCCCAAAGTAAGCACTGTAAGGCTTGTGTTATCGGATGCTACGGTAACGGATAGAATACATATACAGTAAATATATAACGATATATACTTGAAAAGACTTGCGGATCAATAGTTTACGAGAAAATTTATTTTATTTGTATTGGTAAGCCGAAGTACCTAGGGTATATCTTGGGTCGAAACCTCTTAAAGGCAAAGACTATAAAACAAATACGTAGGAGTACTTAAGGTTTTTAAAAGACGTTTGTTATATTTAATTGAGCACATTAAGTGTTAGGTACTATAACTTAGGTACGTTTTATTTTAAATTTAAAATAGTAGTATAAGATGTTATTTCCTCTTGATTTCTTAAATTAATCCTCTTATAGAACTTTTTAAGGATGCATACTTTTACCCTCTTATTATTAAACAATGAATAAGCTAGTTACCCTGTGTTTTGTATATATATATATCACTCAAGTGCCATTCGTTATTCAATGAACAGAGACAAAACATAGAGTAACTAATCCAAACTTAGTCTTCGTTTATTAATAAGGGGACAAAAGACGTAGATACTCAAACTGATAAAAACAACGGAAGCCTGAATTGAACGGGTTTTGTGCTCCGCAACCAATCGCTGTATTCCAATAGGGATGATAACTACAAGTCTAAACAGTGCTTAATTTTGGGTAAGGCTAATTGGTGTGAGTGTTAGAAATATTTATTAATTTATTTCATCTTCTACAGGACAAAGGAAGTGAATTTCTCGCTGCCGTCGTTTCGCTCGTCTTCGCTCGGCGAGCTGCGCGATGTAGTCAGCGTGAGCAGTATGGGCAGTGAGATTCTATGCCCGCCAGTGCCAACGCAGCACCGATCAAATTCATTCAGTAAGTAGTTTCCTACTATTATGTATTGTTATAGGAAATTTGATGGCACAGTGGCTACTTCGATCGATCAGAAAATGATAACGAAAATTAAGTAACTTTCGCAATGTCCAGTTTTCGGATGGGCGACTAAAAATATTTATTCATACTTTGGAAGACACTTCAAGCCATTGGTTTCGACCGCATTTGTTGTTTAAATTAATCTTAAAGAGTCACATAGCAGTGGATAACAGAATGCTTAAGCGAGTCTGATCGTTGCTGTCGCATTTTACTTTTAGGCACCTGGCAATAAAATCAAATAAGAAATTCAAGCACTAACTAAATTTGCTTATACTAAGTAACACTAAATTTACTCTTATTAAACTACATACATACAAAAGTAAATTTTAAAAATAGGTATTATTAGGGAATCGCCGACGTAGAGTACTATGAGTGCGATGTACACGCAACAGATAAATATACATATAATTCGGCATAAACATTGGTCAAATCCATATTGCTGTTGAGAAAATATGAGGCCAGATTACTAGCTTATTGTTCACAAGTTTCTAGAATTCATTTTACCCTAATACACATAGTACACACCTGCGTAAACAGTTTCACTTTGGTACTTTGGACTTACGTTTCTGCTCTTTCAGTCCCTACATAGTAAAACTGTTATATTATCATTAATATGCAAAGCATACTGAAACTGAATAAAGATAACTTATTCTAATTAAAGCATAACAATGGTAGTTTTGTTATTCGAGCGTCAGATTTCACAGAACTGCTATCTGGGGACAAGGTAGTGCCCACGCCAAAAGTGGATTGGCCATTTCGCTACATTCACATAAGCGTAAGGTAAAAATTTATCCAGTATTCATTACTTTTCTGTTATACAATAGTTCTCGTAGTACTGGAACGGCCAAGCTTCATACTTTGGCTAAGGTATAGGGTTTGTGAAGTCAGGCCTTGTAGAGTAAGGGGGTGTAGAATTTCCCTCAGAATATGCAGAAGCTACCGCACCATCTCAGATTTGGTAGCATGTGCCCTCGGTGGGTCCCTGCCACCGGGACATTGATGCTGGTGTGCTTTCTGCAGTTTACTGGCCGAGAGCACAATTGCGCTCGAAAAACCAGCGCCCAGCACTAGAGGAAGAGATCCGCTGGCGAAGGGAATACGAGGAGGCCACTATAAATATTTGGAGTGACCGTTTCCAGGAAGAGATGCAAAATGCAAATGCTGGCTCTCGGCGCCGCACCCCCGAAGGCATAGCCGCCATCTTACAAATATGGGTATAACGCCAAAATGGGTCGTTTACCTTCCGGCTCACACAGGTCCTCTCGGGGCACGGATGCTTTGGAAGGTACCTATTCAAGGTGGCTGAAAAAGAGCCGACACCTGAGTGTCACCAGTGTGGCTACTCCATGGACAAGGCAGAACACGTGCTGGAGGAATGCCCAACATATCCGGAACTGCGTTCATCACTAACTGGAGTGGTGGGAAATGACCTCGCTTTACCGGCTGTAATGGCCAGGATGGTGGAGTCAGAGTAGGTATTGGATAGCCATGGAGGGGTTCTGCGAGGAGGTGATGCAGCAACGGGAGGCTGAAGAGCGTCTGCGAGAGGCGGATCCTCTCTCTCAGCCAATACGAAGAAGGCGGGGAAAACGGCGGGGAAATGCCCTCGCACCGGGCATGGGGAAAACTTGGTGCCCATAACAAAGTAATGCCCCCTGAGTAGCGCGATGCGCCTAATGTTACGGTGCATCGCCCAAAGACGGGTGGGAGTGGCGTGATACAAAGCCTTGCTCCCCTTCCAGAAGTGGGCTTGCCAACTGGAAAGCAGTCGGCATTGGCTAGTCATGATGCGTTACGGACACGTGGCGACGACCTTTGTCGATGCTCTGTACAACACTGTGTGGGTTTTAGTCAGTAGGCCTGCCAACTAGAAGAATACATTTTCGACTAGTAGGTAGGCATGGGAGAGTACGACATAACCCGATCACTTTCTCCAGTGAGCGGGTATGCGTAAGGCATTTCCCACACGCAAAAAAAGGAGGTGTAGCGTTAGAAGCTTGTCTCTACATGAGATCTGATTACTTTTGACAGCGCGCGTCATATGATTTCATCTTGACAACATTTTACATGAACATATTTTTGGTGGGGTACATATACTTATGAACTCTTTTCATTCAAATTAAATAACGCGAACGTCAATTCGGACACAATTCACGTACTATGCGTATAAGTTTTTAATTAAGATAACGCTCATAGTGAGCATAAGCATTTTACACCCTTTACGCTAATCATATCCCGTAAAAATAGAACAATAAACAATATTTGATTTCCAAAAAAAAATTGCGGTTAATTTTTTAATAAACGCTGCTACAACTGTTTGTCAACTTAATGAAGTTATTTCTGGAGTTTGATATTCAAATGAGATTACCCGCCCATTAAAAGAGGCCAAGATAATTTCATTATTTACATTTTTAGGACCTAAAACAACTCCACAAGGGATCTTTCTAAACAGAGAGTCTGTTCTGTGAGGGGATTTTCCCCTTTGTTATACAACGTCAACAAATCCCAGGTTTAGTAATACAGAATGAGTGAATTATGTCAACTTCCTCACAAAGGATCTATTATAGCAGAATCAGACAAGCTTTCTACGTCAGTCATGATAATGTAAATGCTCTGTATGTTATTATGCTTGTTTCTTCTTGAATTTCATTCATCTAGATATCTTAAATAAAATTTCTGCCAACTACGTAGTAATGTTATAATTCATCACTACAAAACCGATCACAAATGACGTCTTTTTTGCTTAGAAATAAAACAGTGCAGAAATATTATATGAAATCTCATGGTAGCACAGTTTTACATTAATTCACTGTTTTATTTATATATTTAGTTATAAATTTATTTTAGAAATTTAATGTCTCCTGTTAAATATATGCATAAGATCAAAAAGAATTAAATAAAAATTTAAATAGATTAAAAGATTCAAGTAAATGTTTAAGGAAAAGATGAATTAAACTTTGTTTTTATTAATTTGAGTTTTTATTTTGAGTGCAGTTAGGTAGTTTGGTGTTTGAAAGAAAAGTAGATTACGCACCTTAATTGAATTCATGTACACTGTTTTATTAACTCACTTTACGCTCGATGCAATACTAATAATATATAGAACAGCAATGAACACATCACCACTTATTACTTTGATCCCAAGATGAGCAGTTTTTGTATTTTGTTTTTATAACAAGCAGAAAATAACGATAATTTCGAAATAAAAAAGTAAAAAATTGCTGATAGCAAAATAAGTCAACATTTAACAGAGTACAAAATCAGTTCTGAAAAAAGGTAAAATAATATGACATTTTCGGTATAAACGCCTTCGGCGTAAGGGATCCTTGAAATACATGGTTAAAAGTAAACAATTTTAATATTTCACGTTACGACAGTGAATGAAACTTAAATAGCAAAAAGAAAACTATTAATTGTTTTTAACATGCTATAGTCTCGGAGCTATATTTTTAATTGTTTTGGTTAGACCTTTATACCAGGCTTTACAAAAATACTTCACATAATCGAATGTTAATAAAATGTTGGAGAAAAAGTCTTTTCGCGTTGAATTATGTATGAACTTGTAATAAAATCTCTATGGTATATCATTTGTATCTGGATGGTTTTGATATTATTAAAAAGTTTAAAATTTAAAGAAGATACTTCCAAATTCAAGATAGAAAAATGTGTGATTTTCATTTGTTTGTCTTACTGTCAAGATTATCGATTCTCTCAATCGAATGAAGAAATTCAATACATTTTAAAATTTGTTCTGTCTGTTCTGTTTCGGTCTCTTTAGATTTTTTTAGGCCGTGTCAGATTAACATCACAAGAGGACTGCCAAAACCTCTTGTCGCGGTTTTTTGATCAGCAGCTACAAGATGGCAAAATGTTATTGACCAAAATGGCACCTACATACTTAAGTTAAATGTAAATAAACTGTATTAAAAAAAATGGGTGCGTGTACTTATGTAGGCGCGTGAGAAGTTATCCTTCTTTGGCATCGTTTAAAATTAGTTTTTAATTGCATGCAAATAATTAATTACAATAAATTAATAAAAAGTCTGGAAAAGGACGAAGTCAATAAAGTTCAGTTTTAATTTGAAAAAATAAATAAATAATCAAAATATTCAATTAAAATCGCTACTGAATATAATTTATTAGAACATATGTGATTTGCACTTGTATGAAACTCAAACACGTATTCCGAATATACAAACTAGAAACATGTGGATAAATATTATAAATATGAATACCTATAACTGTTACTTTATTACAAAAAATAAAGATGTGGTTTTTGGTTCTACTTCACCAATGGTCAAGAGATGGCGCTGTAGTCTCCTGAATCGCGCTTTGGTTCCGTTGTTCCAGATTAATAAATACTTTTTGTTACTTTATTACAAAAAATAAAGATGTGGTTTTTGGTTCTACTACACCAATGGTCAAGAGATGGCGCTGTAGTCTCCTGAATCGCGCTTTGGTTCCGTTGTTCCAGATTAATAAATACTTTTGATAGGCCTTCACAATGCAGTCGTTAGCACCCACTAAATAGAGATTCTATTTCTATTTTGTTGGTAGATTTTCTTAATGTGCGGTAAACACAAAAGTAATGCATGAAGTTGGTCGCTAAAGCGACCAACTTCATTATGTTAAAATTTTGTGTTACAGTGATGCGCGCGCATCTTAAAATTTCACTCTCATCATTTTTTCACAACGCGCCTAAAGAAGTATAACTTCAAAAATGTTTTGAATTTTTGTATAAAATGTGGAGAAACTTTTCCCCCCAACCTAATAATAAACTTATAGGTTGAAAATAGCACCAACATTTTCGACCTTTGAGAAAAAAGAAAGCGGAACCCTTGCTTATAATATGTATGTATAAATCATAAATCACGTTTCTAGCTTAAGTATTTACTAAGCTCACCATATAGTAAGTGTAGGTTCATGGAATACTCGCCGTGACC